TTTTTTGTATGAATTATTTAATTTATTTATTTTATTCTTGTTAGGGATTGGTTGAATAGTGTATTGTGGCAGCGGTGTGGTGACGATGGGGAGGCAGATTTAGGGTTTTTTGTTGGATTGGGTGGATAACGGCGTGTGTAGAGAATTTCGCGCAGGCTGAAACCTTAATCGACTATGTACATATTCATAGTCGATTAAGCTAATCGACTATGTTCTGGTAGTCGATTAATTAAGGTTGATCGACTCCATTTTTTTTTTTTTTAGTTTTTTTTGGATTTTTCGTTTATTGATTCCAATTGTATAAATCAATTATAATGTTTGTATATTTTTTGTTTTTGTAATATATAGGTGATTTTGCATTTTTTCGCAGTTGTGATTTGTTATTTTTAGTAGCAGATTCTTAATCGACTATGCGCTGGTATCAATTAAGGTTGATCGACTCCAATCTTCTTCTTTTTTTGGTTTTTTTTTTTTATTGATTCCAATTGTATAAATCAATTATAATGTTCTTATATTTTTGTTTTTTTTGTAAAATATAGTTGATTTTGCATTTTTTTGCAGTTTTGATTTGTTATTTTTAGTAGCAGACTTTTGATCGACTATGCTTCATCATAGTCAATTAAAAAACCAGATATAAAAAAATAAATTAAAGAACAATTTTTTTTTTTAAATAAAGAATTTCCTTAATCAACTATGAAGCACAGTCGATTTAAGACTAATCGACTATGCTTCATAGTAGATTAAGAAAACGGAAAAAAAAAAAAAAAAAATTCGCGGAGCGCGTGACCCAGTAATGAGGTGGCGGGCGGGGTAAAACTGGAAAACATAATAGCTGAAATTGGAACTGGGCTTTTCTCAAATGGTCTAAAATATTTTGGGCCTATCCCCATTAAAAAAAGTAATGGGGGGTTATGTCAAAGAGCCCCCTAATATTAACTAACATCTGGCCCATCTGATATTACATTTTTGGAAATTCCATTTTTACCCTTTATAAAGAGTACATTGTATTAACCTCCTCTGAGATTAGGTCTAATTACATATACACCCTCATATTTTTAAAGTATTATAAGTACACCATCCTTAAAGTCTAATTTTAAATCAAAACTGAATTTGAACTCATTAAATATATTTGTTTTTTTTTTTTTTTAATTAAAAAATCTTAACAAGAAATGACAAATATTATCTAGATAACCAGTTTACAACAAATCAACGATTAAATATAAATAAATGCTAGTTGACGATAAACTTCAGGGAGATCCCAAAAATTTTTAAACCCGAGAGCTTAAAAACTAAATCGTCGTTTGTCATCAATATTGGAAGTTTTTGAGAAAATAAAAATACAATAACGAGGTTAAGATATCAAGTGCGAAGTGAACGAGACTATGATATGTTAAAAAAAATATCATTTATTATTTTACATATAAAAGAACAAATTTTTTTTCAATATTATTAATTTTCTTCTTTAAAAAATATTGAAGTAAAGTTAAAAATTTTGTTTAATGATTTTAAATATATTTTTTTAGTCAAAATTAAACTTTACAAAGTTAGTAATTTAGAAAAAAAATTAGGGGTAATATGCATGACACCCCTCAAACCAAACCTAATTAGATGTTGGGGACAAACTTAATTAATTTTTTTTTTATTAAATCCTTAAACAAAAATTGATACACATCCTTTTAATTTTTTTAAACCCAACACTACCCTTAATGTAATTAATAAAAAATATAGTATAATCTCATATATCACTTCTCTCTTTGTCCCCCTCTCTCTATTCTTCCGCCGCCCAACTCCTCCTCTTCTCTCTCTCTCTCTCTCTCTCTCTCTCTCTCTCTCTCTCTCTCTCTCTCTCTCTCTCTCTCTCTCTCTCTCTCTCTCTCTCTCTCTCTCTCTTCCCCCCCTCTCTCTATTTTTATGCCGCCCAACTCCTCCTCTTCTCTCTCTTTCTCTATTTCCCCGCCCCAATCTCTCTAATCAAATTCTTTTTCTTTCTTTTCAATTATTAGATCAGAGTTTTTAAAAATTTGTGGGGGAACAATAGATCTGCAACGAACGGTGGTGGCCAATTCAAACGCGCGTTGTGCGGTGCCGTTGATGTCCCTGACTCGCCTTGGCCGGGGAAGTGGCGATTGCATCATGGAAGGGTTGGCGAGATATGTGCCTGCGTAGATATTTTTGTTGCTTTTTAAGCGATGGCTAGGGATGGTTATGATGAATTCATGGTATGTGTGCGTTGAATTGCATATACGACGAGGACGGTGGTTGGTCTACATTTGATAGCGATGCTAGGGTTCCAAATGACAAAAGTAGGGTTTTGAAAATAACTTTAGTTATCTACGAGACTACGAGTGTCTAACGACGCTGTGAATCGAATAATCAGCTGTTATTGAAAGCATTTTTTTGACTAATTGCATCTGATTATCTTTTAAGAGATTTTGCTTGGTATGACCGCTATAGTTTGGCGGCAGCTGCGTTTGGCTGCTAGAGTTGGCGACGACTGGGAGATATTGGCGGCTAGGGTTGATAGTACATCATAGTAAAACATAGTATACTGACGTATACAATAATACTATATTATAGTATATCGTAGTATACTATAGTCTACTACAAAATAATATGTATAATGGATTAAAAAACGAACAAAAAAATAACATGCTTTTGTTTTTGTAATAATATTATGTAGAAAAAAAAGGAAAATAATAATTTTATTTTTATAATTTTGTATAAATGCTAAAATGAAGAAAGAAAAGAAAAAAATAAAAAAAAAACGTTAGACGTAAAAATGAAACTATTAAATGCAGAATAAAATAATAAAAGCAGTTCGAATTTACTAAATGCAGATCTTGATTTTGTGAGTGGAAGGGCATTTTTGGAATGAATTTTATAAATGATGTGAAGCAAATATTTAGTTGGACTTGTCATTTAGTTTTAATAAGTTTTATTAACAGGGACCTATATCTTAAGGCCCCAAAAGATTAATTAGACATGATTTGGTTGTGATCGGCAAACTTGTCCCTTCCCAAAATGCAAGTAAATGTTATTTATTTTTATTTCCAAAATATCTTTTTCAAAAGGGGCTATATGCCAAACACCCTTCATTGGGATTTTAATTCTTGATAAATTATTTATTTATAAATGATATTTGAGATAAATCCAATAGGCCTGAAAAATAATATATGCCCCCGCTAACTATTAATTAGTATAATTATTTAATTTAAAAAAAATTATACCCATAATCTACACCCAAATCTTCTCCAAAAATTATTCCGCTCATCATGCCAATTCTGTTTTTTTTTCTTCATTTTCTTCTTTATTTTGTTTAATGGTTTTCTTTATTTTGATTTAAAAGAAAATTTTATAATTATTTTATTATTATTTTTTTTTGGTTTTTTTTATTTTAATTTTTTTTTCTTATTTACATTTTTCATGTTTTTTTTTATTTTAATTTAAAAAAATGGTTTTATTTTTATTTTCCTTTTTTCATGGTTTTTCTTTTTTCTTAATTTCGAATTGTTTAAGAAATGTTTTTTTTTTCTTTTCAGTTTTTTTAAATAAAAACCACTATATAAATATGAAAATCACTATGTATAAACAGCTATATAAATATGAATACCATTCTCTATAAAAACAACCATATAAACATGAAAATCACTATGTATACACAACTATATAAATATAAAATCAGTCTGTATAAACAACTATATAAACATGAAAACCACTCTGTAGAAAAACAACTCTATAAACATGAAAGCTACTATGTATACACAACTATATAAATATAAAAACCACTATGTATAAACAACTATATAAACATGAAAACCACTCTGTATATTTTCGAAAACCACTATGAAATTACCGTAAAATTCACTATGACATAAAAGTAATGCACATTAATATTGATGTAATCCACTACAAACTTATCCAAATCTACGTAATTCACAACGAATTAAATTAATCGACTAAAAACACAACAAAAAGTTAACAGAAAAAAAAGAAAAAAAAAAAAAACGAAATCCACTATTCCCGAACCCTAAATCATCATCCATCTCCCATGGCCACCGACACCTCCCCAAAATTCCAGAAAACAAAAGCTCATTCATGTGCCGCACCAACCCGAATACCACCCAGAAATAATCGACTACAAAGTACAAACACAACAAGAAAACAAAAAAGAACAAAAAAACAAAAATCCACTATTCTTGAACCTTCGATCATCTTCCATCTCCCATGGCCATACGCCTCCGCGAAAAATCTGAAATCCATTACAAGCTCATCATAGAAACCACTACAAAAATATAAAAAACCACTACCAAAAAATCCCCTTTACAAAGAGAAAATTGACTCCAATTTTATCAAAATCCACTAAAAACTTGCTTAAATCCACTATAAAAAATATTCCCTTAATTTTACCTAAATCCACCACAAAAAATCCCATTTACAAAAAATCCATTACATATGAATTCTGACGCCGCCACATAATGTTGATGGAGTTCAATATATTCTCTCAACACTCTCCTGCATAATAATAATATTAATTAAACATAACATTAGAACAAAAATACCCTTCCGATTGAATTAATATAAATCAAACATTATTTGGATTTTGTCGCTGGCGGTGGTGCGGTCGCTCCAGATTCGAAGAGGCATAAGAGGGCATGTGATGACCCTGATCATGAATTGAATCTCCGTCGCGGAACTGTGATGACCCAGATTACGTTGAAACGGTTTCTCTGTAATTAAGGGGCGCAATCGTGGGATTATATGAGGATGTGTTGTTACGATATAATAGAAAAATATATTACAAATCTTTTTTAATCTTTTTTTATTTCCAATCATAAAACATACGCTACTTTTAAGTTAGGGGTATAATAGTGATAATTTATTATTTTTTTATTATTTAATGCTGAAATGGATTTATCTTAAAAAGTTCTAAAACAATTGGACCTATTGTAATTAGACTTGTGTAATGGGGGGCTTTTGACAAATAATCCCTTTTCAAAAACAAAAATTAAAATTAACGACTCAAAAGTCAAAATCAAGCTAAATATAGGCTCTGCCTTCCTCTTATTACCTTGGCCCAATAAAAAGCCCAATAATAATGTATTCCCCATTTCCCCTTCTCTCTCTTCTCTCTCTCTCTCTCTCTCTCTCTCTCTCTCTCTGTACTTAATTCGGATTTTGGAATCTCTGTAGTCTCTCCCTCCGCGCCAACTCAATTGTACTTTCTCTCTCTTCTCTCTCTCTCTACATAACACACACCACTGGGCGTGAGCAACAGAAACCCTACTTTTTCCTTTCAATTAAAATTTTCTACAAACTCGTCGCAATTCCAGACGAGGATTGCTCCAATCGAAGATGGATTTCGAAAATGGCGACGAAAGCATGGTGTGGTCCGAAGAGCTGGAGCGCGTGCCTCTCAAACAGAGACTCAAGTTGCTGTTGGCCAGCCACCGTATCTCCGTCGATTCGTCCTTGAAATCCGAGCGCCGGAGTCCTGTTTTGCCACCGTGGGTTACGGATTCTTCCACATTAATTTTAATTTTAATTTTTTTATTTTTGTAGAAATTCTGATGTTTTAAGTGTTGTGATATTGAATGTTGGGTTTGATTGTGTGAAGAACTGTAGGTGTTGCCGGAAAAGAGGAAAGAGAAAATGGTCACTGTGATACACAGGTACTATTAGTAATTTAGTATCAAGTTATCATTTGATCCATATGTATATTTATACCATGTTTGCCTGCCGTCTGAGTATTTTTATACTAAACTATTAAAAATAATATTATTATTTTACCACCCCCATTATATTATGTGATTGAATTAGTAAAATGTACATGGTGTAGAAATTTTAGTTTCGATATTTTGTGTTAGGTGAAAATGAATGAACATTGTTCTATCAATTAGGGAAATCATTCTTAAGAGTGTCGAAAGTTGATATGAAGCACTCAAATTAAACGGGGCTGGTTCTTTTGGGAGCTTGAGGGCAAAAATTTTTGTTTAGAGCGGAGATTTTATCGTGTTTTAATTTCTAGATGAAATATTATTAGAATCGGATATGTTGAAGGTCGAGGAGGTTGAATGCTAAGCGTTTTACTTCTTTGGTACATTACTTTAAAGTACACATAGATTTGTTATTCGAACGGCGGACTATGATTTGTTACACGAAGAAAACTGAGTTCAGAATTCGGTTTGATATATAACAATCATATATTATTTGATTTTGATCTATTCAGTTTTCTAACTTTGAAGTAATTACAGTCTGGTCTCTGTGCTGAGGAACGGATGAATGAGAAAGTACTGGAGGCCGAACGACGAACGGGTAATAGATACTTGGAACTTTTGCCATATTTGGATTTGGAAATTGAGCATGAAATGTGGAAATTTTCATTCTAATTATCGCTAACTTCCTCCACAACTTACTAATAGCTGATAAGCCACCTGGCCCCACCACCTCTACTACCGACCAAAATAAATTTAAGAAAAAAATGAGATGTCATTCTTTGCAATTGTGAATTATGGGGTATCGAAATAATTGGAAACTTTACTTTATTTTCCTTTAGTTTCATTTATTCATACAAATTATTGATCATTGAAATACAGGTGATCTGGAATTGAAAGATCAAGAAAATTTAGCTTCTGCTCCATCTGTGAAAATTGATTCAGTTGGTAGTAGTTCACTTTACGAGTCAGTTTGTGTCACAGATCCCGTCACAGTGAAGCTTGAGTGTGATGACAACTTAGTCGAGGGTTCCTCGAGATCTGAGATTCAAGCTGTTAGTTCTGAACCTGAGATGAGTGATGAACTCGATCATGCCTCATTGAAAGAACGATTAAGGGGGTTTCTAGCAAGGTTTCTCTTCTTATCTGTAACTGTATCATAATTCATAGCGTAGTTAGATGTCATTTCCTCTGAGTTACTTGCATGTTTAGTTAAATGCTTTGCTTCGGTCTTTTTTTTTCTAGCTGATGTAATTGAATGTTAAAGAAAAATCATAGAGAATTTTCATTACACGTCTTGTGGAAAATATTCGTATCGATTCGGGATGTAGTTGCGTATTTTGAAAACTAATGAATATATGTGTTATCCAATAAACACCTCCTTTCAGCACTGTTTTCTTCACTAAGTCCATGATTCCAATATAATAATAAGTTTATTGCTCTTATCTTTCATCTCTGCAGTTGGATACTGTTATTGAATAATTTGTTTTCTGCTTCCATTCCTTTGCAGTAAATGCTTGGGATTCTCATCAACGGTGTTGGAGGTAGTTTTCTTTTGTTTAATTAATTGAAGTCGACACCTTAACTGGGTTTTAAGTTTTAACTCACCAGTTTAATGTTTCATATGCCTGATAAACTTGTGTCGTATGTTTAAAATGATTATGATTATGTGGTATGGACTCCACCTTTATCCTTTAGATCAAATCTGATACATTTAATATATAAATTACGTTAATGTGTTGTCACATTGTAATCTATCAGCAGGCATCTCATAACAAAAACAAAGTAGCACCTTAGGGAAGAACTCCTATATATTTTCTGCCATGTTGGCCTATTTTGCGGATCTATAATTGATTCATACATTATGCACTGCCTATAATCAAAATTCTTGAAAGAAAAAAGTATTTTCCAGTTGCTCAGTCTTGCAGACATATTGCATTCAAATAATGAAGTGATAATGATTTTAATCAGTTATAACTAAACCATTTATATAAATCATGTCTGAATTCGCTATTCAATTTTGTCTGATCATGGGAATTTTTGGATTGTCTGAATTTTGTTTTGCCAGGAGAATTATGCTGTAAGAGTAAAAGGAGAGCTGGGATTTGGTGACCAAATTCATAAGATTGATAGTACTTCAAAATCTCTTTCGCCAAGGAGTACCAAAGTTTCATCTTGTAAACCTCATCAAGCACTTGACAATTTCTCCGAACGAAACAAATCCGCTGATGAAGGTTCATCAGGGAATCAAAGAAATGAAATGATAAGTTCTTCTGAAACAGAATGCACGAAAAACGTATCAGACGTTGGAAAGACTCTTCTGTCTGGTGATATTAGAACTGCGAAATATTCACCTATACCTGGCTTAGCAAATATCAAAACCGAACCATCAAATGACGGCGAATTACCTACTTTCAATTTAAATACAATGGATCAAACGTCGCTTAGAAACTTCGTCATGGTGAAGAGTGAAGTTCAAACATCTGATGATGCTTACGAAGATGAGTTGGATCATATGTTGCTCCGAGAGCGGATGAAACTGTTGCCATCAAAAGATGGTCCAAGTTCGGATATTCACCACACGAGCCAAACGCTTCCTTCTGTTGCTTCAAATCCTACCCACCTGAAAGTCAACCGTCCAAGAAAAAGACGAAAAACTGTTACGTAAGTTCTTTGATCTTTCCAACTAATACATATGGGAAACCCTCATCCAAGATGTTTACCGTTTCTTTTGGTGGTAATTGCAGGGATTCAGTTGAAACTGCCATGGAGGAAGATGCTCCTGGACTATTGCAGGTACTACAGGCAGCTAAGTGTTTGTTCGTTCTCATCTGAAATCGGGTTACATGCTCAAATATATATTTATCGTGGACAGGTGTTGATTGAGAAAGGTGTTTCAGTTAATGATATCAAGCTTTACGGTGAACCAGAATGTAATGATTTGGATGTTTCATCCATCAAAGACAGTTTTTCAGAGCTTGAAGAAGTTATATCTAAGGTTGTGCTTTCATTGATACCTTATAAATGATCAGTTGTTTTGCAATGCTCTGATTTATTTATTCGTTTTTTTGTTGTGGCAATTTACCAATATGTTTGCGCATTTATTTCCCACAACTCATCTTTACAAACGTTGATATAAATGGAAGTCTACAAACTAGTTTGCCGTTTCCTATGTGAGTTCTGAACGATTTATGTTGCAGCTTTTCTGGCAGCGCGAGTCATTCTTGAAGTTAGGTCCCATGCGATCCAGCAAGGGGGAGAAGGCTAGTTACTGTTTGGAATGTCTATTTTCACTCGTGGAGCAGGTATTATTATTATTGTTACTACCCTTTTCAATTTGGTAACTACTCTCTCATTCTTCTGTGACCATGGTCAATCATAATTTCTAATTTCGATCGAAATAATATTTTTCTATCTGAATACCGTCTGTCAACCAATTTTTCGGAAATTCTGTTTCGGATAACATGAATTTCTCTATTCCATTCCTGGAAAATTTTAACGCATTCCTGAAGTTGAAATAGGAATATATACGTCCGATATTTTTCTCAATTACAAATGAAGGTAATAGAATATATTTTCTAAAAAAATAGGTTGGGTTAATAATCCCTTGATTGGCTCGTTTTTGTTGTAGGCACGATATCTGCTGTTTCGAAAGTGGCCAGTTGAATGGGGCTGGTGCCGGGACCTCCAGTCGTTTATCTTTGTCTTTGAAAGACACAACAGGTTAATTATGGTGTAATCAAGAACCGATGCAGTTTAATAATTCTCTAAAACTACATCTGAACAAAACGAAGACATTATTTAATTATTTTCATGTGCGCAGGATAGTGCTTGAACGCCCTGAATACGGTTACGCAACGTACTTCTTTGAGCTGGCAGATTCTTTGCCCATAGATTGGCAGATCAAACGACTAGTAACTGCCATGAAGCTTACAAGCTGCAGTAGGGTTTCCTTACTCGAGAACAAAGCACTGATGGTGATTTACTTCTACATAATACTTTCTTATAAATTTGAAATTGCTCGAGTAATTACTCTCTTTTAACAATGCATTATTCAACTTGTTCCGAATTGAATTTTGCGATCCGCTTATAATATTAAGTTTTTGTACTAATCACTTTAACAGGTAGGCGATGATTTAACGGAAAGAGAAGCTCGGGTTTTGATGGAATATGGATGGACACCTAACACTGGGCTTGGAACAATGCTTAATTATTATGACAGAGTTGTTCATGACAGGAAAAACGAGACATACGCCTCTGAGTGGAGATCAAAAATCGGGAAGATGCTTACAGATGGTTATAATGGAGGTACCTTACTCTCTGCTCGTATTCCAGAAAAGGTCACTGAATACAACCTTGACCATCCCATGCATGTCAAGTTAGAACTTAGTTGAGGTCAGGTTTTATATCTCGAAATTGCAAATATTTGTCGATTCTCGATAGATCTTTTTGGCACACTATTCTGTTGAGATCAGTTTGTTGGATTGATTTATAAATATATGGCCTTTTTTTTCAGAATGTAAATAACTATTCTCTATTTTCCATGATGAAGGATCCAAAGTTTTCGCACTTCGCGTTTCACATAATTTATCAAGTTTTTTTGTCTTAATTTGGTCATTATTAAGTTCATCAAACAATTGGCGGTTGTTTCTATTTAATGATTTACTAAACAATTTAGGATGTTGGAATAATATTTTATTCTGAATTCAGAATTCTACTGAATTTGATTTTTGAATTTTTTCGATTTTGAAACTAGTTTTTTTTCATTCCAATTTTTGAAATTTTCAATTCCCCAATTTATTTATTTTTTTCGGTTTTTGTGGAACATAATTGGAGTTAGTTTTTGCACCTCCGTAAAAAGATGGAATGTTTCCAAAAGTTTTAATTCTGATATGATCCGTCTGATTTTTCATCCTAAGCGAGATAATTTTTTTTATCTATAAACACTCGTTTGCAAAAATACTTCATATCGATTTTTGAACTGCTAATGTGGAAAAATGAAAATTGAGGTGTATATAATTTTTAGTCTTCAACTTATAGAGGGTCTTGTTCGATTTTTTTTTAATACTTAAATTGAAACATTGAATCGAATAATTGAATACTCTAGCGTAATGTGCTAGAACTGCAAATTGCCATTGAACGTAATTTGAATCGGAAGCCCGTAAAATGAATGTGGGCTTGAATCTTTCTAAACGGGCCCTTTGCTGGGAATATTTGTTCTGTTATAGAAACTGAAGTCCTAATGAGAATACAAACTCTTCTTTAGATACCGTTTTCGAACGAATTTCAAATTCTTTTAATTTTGAATTAATTTTCGAGTCATTAGAAGCGGGTTTGAAATTTACCTTCTAATGAGTCATTTGAGATTTCCCCCAAATTCTCTCATCAAATTCGGATCCTTTTAATTTATGTCACGTGCATTACGTATTAAACTAGAAACGGAGCACCGAGCAAAAAATAATACACCATTTTTGCACTTTGGTTTATACGGATTGTAATTGGAATTAGTTTTTGCACTGTCGTTTCATTTTATTGGACCCTTTCATTAATAATTTCACCTATTAACGATACAAAGTTTTGATCTTTCACATCATTGTTCAAAGGACTATGATATATAAAGAAATAACACTTTAAATACATAATGTATCTTTTATTGCAAACGATATCATATTTGTCCCTAATAGTTGTTCATGACACACGTTGAGCTCGAACATGAGCTTGAGTCGAGCTAATATTTTAATTATTACATATAATTTTAGAATATATATAACTTCAAATTATAATAAAACAAAATATTAAAAAAGAACAGCTCACAAGTCGGTTAATGAGCTCATATACAACTAAAAATATAACTTAAACTTTTACTAAATCATCTCACTATGGACCAGATGGAGTCTAAGTCCGATTCAGCTCATTTACACCTGATATGCAACTCCACCCGCCCGCGCGTTTTTTTTTCAATCATCCATCCATCTAACGCGGCATTCATTCCTATAACATAGCAAACCATTAAATTAAATAAAAGAATGACTTATCCACAACTTCCAACCAATAGGAAATTGTAGATTGAAGCCAAATGAGTAAATTACTTTTTTCTTTTTTTGTAAACTAAAGTAGTAATGCCAAATATGACACACCAAATCATTTCCTCCAACAAACCCCCAAAGAGATTGCAAAAAAGAAAAAAAGATAAAAAAAAAAAAGAGTACCCAATCCTAACAAACTCCATAGAATGGCAAAAGTGAGTGACATGTGTTACTAAATGGTTGAAACAAGTTTTGCTTATGATTTCTAAGTGCCCCCAAAACAAAATGTCTCCCACCCCACCACCCACACTCCACCCCCCACCCAATTAATACACGCGGGCAAAAAATCAAGAACAATGTAGAAGTTTATAGTGAGGTAGCAAAGGATAATATTTATTTATATATATATATATATATATATATATATATATATATATATATATATATATATATATATATAAATTGGAGGGACATTGCAATATAATGGAAAAAGGCATATTAAATTCATGTCAAGTCTTGATCCCATTATCAATATTGTAAATATTATACAATCATGCAAGAATGTCAAAGATATGTATGAAAATGAAGAAGATGCTCTAATGAAATGGTAGTGTTTTAATAATTTCCTCTTTTGTGGGGTTGTGTTGCCAATTTGCTGGATTTTTTCTATGCTGCATCCGATAAATTTTATTGGATTATATAATTTTCATAAATACGAGAAGTATGAATCACATTAGACATGAGTCATGTGTGACAAACTCGACTTAAAAAGTATTGACAATAGGATTTGAGATCAAGTCGTTTAATACGGCGCTCTCTTATCCTCTTTTACATTAATTACCATATACACTACCACTCCTTGAAAATGATAGAAGTGTAATATTGTGTACACATGGACCTTGATGTTGTAAAAAGTAAAAGATAGTTTAAAATGCAAAAGTATGGCATAAAGAACATAAAATTTCATCTAAAAGAAATCAAGGAAAAGAAAAAAGGACTTTTAGTGAAGTCGATTTGTACCTATCATCCTAAGTTTCACGCGCCTTTAATATAAAGAAATAATTATAATGTAATTTAAAGTGGAATGTATATATATATATATATATACTTTAATAATGCAAAATATATAGTTATACACATTGAAATAGGTCATATATAAGATGCTACGTCATCAATGCATCACACATTGGTTTTATTAAGTCACAACTTATATATAATCATAAAATAAAATAAAACAAAAGGAAAATTGGTGTTGAGGGTAGGGGCGTAAACGAATCGAGCTTGGCTGTTTTGTCGAGCTCGAGCTCGCATCCATTTTTTATGAGCTCGAGCTCGAGCCTGAGTCATTTTGTGTATTTTTTTTACTCTTTATTAATATTATTAGAAATTTATTATTTTTAAATTATAACATTCGAAATAAAAAAATGACATGTAGTTTATTTTTTAATATTAA